GCACATCAAGAGGGGAATGACACGAGCGCATCATCCACTACCATAACGCTTTTAAATGCTCCATTTTAGTGGTATTTGATTTACCTATATATCGCACTCATCAGACTAGCTGATCTGATATACTATATAAACTGGCTTCACCTCGAGGTGGCAGCTTCTTTATTTGCTCGCATTACTGGTTATAAATATAATTTAATTATACAGCATGATTAATATATCTAAAACCAGTATTATACACTATTTAACGCTCTATATTTATATATAACATAATTCATTTATACAGTACCTATTAAACAAAGTTGCAAAATTCACATAAAAATCAAAGAAACACATTAAAAACATAAAGACCAAGCAATAAAAGATTTAAAGTACTAAAACAAATCATATAAAAAATAAACCCCCTAAAATGCCCCGCTTGAATCAGTTAAATCAGAAGGCGGTGAGATAACTTTAGTAAAGTAGGCGTTTTAATGCAAGAAAATCTGAGTACATTTCTTCCACCATTTTACAGAGATACATACAAAAACTGCAGACCCCCCCTTTCAGAAATAGTTGGAGGTTGGTTGTCTTACGAAGGTGTTTGCATGACAAAATATGGGCCTTTTGCTTATGAACGCCTGCAGGCGCTCTTGTATGGAAATCTAAAAATGACGTTTCAGATTCAGTTTAACCGTCATTTGTGTGTGTGTGTGTTTGTGTGTTTGCGTGTCCTGCTGATGATCACTACTATCCTACCTCGTCTAATTTGTTTTACAGAGCACCTTGGCCTTTGCTGAGTTCTGTGTGTGTGTGTATGTGTGTGTGTATGTGTGTGTTTAAATAGAACTGCTAGATAAATACAGGTGGAGTCCTTTTTTTACAACAACACACAGACAGAGAGATGAACAGCAGACAAAAAGAGAGACAAAAAAAACATAATTTGAAGTAGGAGAGAAAAAAAGATCAATAGCTGATGTCTTCCAGGAATATTTCTATTTAACCTTATTACCAATTTTTCTAATGAACATGGATGGATTATTAAATGGGCCAAGAAACCTTGGGTCTCTGCTCAGAACCTTTGTTTGACCTCCTTGAAAAAAACATTTCTTGTTGGAATCAAACGACAAAAAGACACAAAGTGATTGCAAAACTGCCGCAAATACATGAAAATTAACTGCAAAGAGATGCAAAAAGACTACAAAAAGTTACAAGATAACTATGAAACAGATGCAAAACTACCACAAAGAGACACAAAACTACCACAAAGAGACACACAACTACCACAAAGAGATGCAAAACAACAAAAAATAAAGATAAAGTAACTACAGAGATGCAATATACCATAATGAGACTGTAAACAGCATGGCCGTTAGGGGGCAGGGGCTTTTACACGTCTGTGCCTGGGGGCCTGTTGTCAAAAAATCTGTCCATGCCCATGAATCATTAAATATACTGAGAAAACAAAGTGAGGTATGTTTGGCTTGCATTAATGAAAATAATGGTTATGTATAAGCTTTTGTCTTATCTGTACCTTTCCCTACATGACTTCTCCCAGCTGGAATGTCTGCCATGTGGAAGTATGACAGATGAAGGCTACCGTACAAGCTGCCACAGGCAGGCATGGGCAAGACAGGAAAGTCAGGGGCCAAGAGCCACAGAATACCTTCCTCTGTGTGGGTGTGTGTGTGTTTGTGTGTGTCCCACTCTGTAAGAGAGGTGAAAGATGTATCCTACATACCAGGAGTTCTTGCTCAGGGAGAAGCAGCTTGTCTGGACTTGGCCAGGATTAGCTGTGTGAGTCTACCTGTTTGAGTACAGAAAGTCACAGCTGAGGCAGAGACAGAAAGGTGTAAGCGGACACGTTGTCCTCCAGGTGGACAGCAGCAAGAAAAACAGGAGTTTGGGATGGAGGAAGGTGAGAGATAAAGTAGAATGGAGTAGAATAGGTAACTGGGCAGATTAACAATCACACAATTTAGACATTTAAACAGGTAACAGGTAAATATCTATTTAGATCAGTGATTCTCAACCTGGTGTCGAGGGACCCCCGCGGGTCTTTAAGGAGGTTCTGGGGGCCCCCCAAAAAATGGGGAATAACTAAATCTTATCAGATAAAGATCCTTGAGACAACTTATCAAATACAGGTCTGCATCAGTTTGGGGGTCCTTGACACCAAAAACTTTGAGAACCACTGACTTAGATTATTAGAGTATTTTTAAAAGTGGCCTCAGAACATTTAAGGGAAGGTGAGGCAAAATACTTCAAACATGTTTTCAAATAAAACTAAATAACTGATCCTCTCACTTTGCCTATTATTATTCAAAACAATGCCTATAATGGATTATAATTGAATCTAATGTAATGTAATAAGTACAAATAATTATTGCACTACTACAAGTAAGAAAATGTATTCATAAGTTGTTACATTTGCAGCAGTACTGTCAATGGGTTTTTAAAGATCTTGCAGAAGAGGGACCCCGGCCTTAAGCTAATGCTGAACCCCTGATGATGATAAAATAAAGTCAAAACCAACATAAAGTGTCTTAGTAAGGTGCTGGACCACCATTAGCCACCACACCAGTTGTAGTGTTCCTTGCAATAGATTCTATAAGACTCTGAACTCTCCTCAAGGGATGAACACCGATCCTCCAACAGACGTTTCTTCATTTTGATGATTTGATCATGATGTTATAGCTGTTCACACTGGTGGACTCTTTATTGCCCCTATGGTAGATTAAAACATGATAAAGTGCCCTTTAGGGTACTAATCCTAACCCTGACTAAGCTGTTTCATTACAACTTTCTGCTCGCTGGTGACTTTTTTATTTTACCCCCCTCCTTTCCCTTAAAACAGTCTGACTCTGCCACTGGGTGTTCATTTGGGTTGATTTATGGTGACTGTGAGGGTCATAGCACAGGATTCACACCATATTCCTACTCATTTGTGAACATTTGTGTTGTCTGTGGAAGCATTTGCATTCTTTCTCCAATCATATCTTCAATATTTTTACTATCATTTGTCATCTGTCTGTGTGTGTCTAATCAAACACATCTCAGAGTGTTTGTTTTGGATTCACCCCAAAACACAAAAAAAATCTGAGGGGTCACCTGATGGTTAAAGGGATAAGAAAGATAACTATATTTCTGCTACACAAAATTATGTTTTGTTTTTTAAGAAACATTTTTCTGTTGATCTGCTTGTAACATAAATAAACATTTTACATCAGTATCATCTAACTGACATGAGTATATTTTGTACTTTCAGCACTTCCTTATAGATTTCAGTGAGCAGATTTAGACCTCAATTACATAAACAGCATGAATAAAATATGTATGTAAACCTTATACCGATTTTGTATTGTCTAAATCAGAAATTCCATAACATTTGTGTTGAAACTGACATTCGATCCAGTGCCGTTGACTCCATTCACAGCCACAAATATCAGAGAGCTGCTGCTGTTAGTGAGGTTACTGAGTGCTGTCACCACCTTCACAATCAGCCTCTGTCTGACCAGCTTATGTCTGCCCGACAACAGACCTCACCTCTCCTTCAGTTGCACTCTGCGTGTATAAGTGTGTAAGTGTGTGTGTATGTGTGTAGAGGTAAGAAATTAACTTTTTTCTGCCTGAAGGCATGGTTTGCCCTCTTGATGTGATTTTGTAGTGCATGTCAGGGTCAATTTTAATAAAACAATGAACAAATGCATTTGACTTGCATAAGAGCCAGAAGCACTCAGTGTGTGCCATTAAGTTGGGTTTTAACTTTTTCTCCCTCAGAGATAGACTGATGTGTGATATTAGTGGTTTAAGTTTTCATTTTATGTCCTTTTTATTTCCCAAAATACACTTCAAAAAACTGTGTGTGTGTGTGGGCGCTGTATATGTCAATCAAGTCACGTGGGACAAGGCCTCTAAAGGCAGCAGTGAAAGTTACCAGCATGTGGATGTGTTGTGACTGTGTTGTGT